GTACTTGATTATAATAAAATAAATGACACATGTAACATCTCTCTCTTTTACAAAGTAATAATAAGAAAAAAAAACAAGTATTCCCTATACCTTAAAAGTTTATTTATGCTTCTCCCAGATCGAGTAACCACAGTACCTTTACTAGTTCCACTAGATTCATTAGAAACATTTCTGTTCAAAGATTGTTGACTAGAACTGGGTAAACATAAATCACTGTTGTTCAAATGAGGATTAGGCCTAGAAACATGCAAGTCACAAGAAAGATTGTTCTCATTGTTTTCAGAAACTGAGTTATCATTAGGGCTGGGTTCAATGGGACTGTCATATTTAAATTCTGATTTTATAGGCAAAGTTGTATTGGGGCATGTTTTGATAAAAGATGAATTTCTTCTCAATATCCGACCAAATTCATCCTTCACGAGATACGACCTAGGAGCACTACATTTCCCTACTATCTCCCCCTGTTGCCAATTCCTACACTTTTCCTTTTTGAAAATAATACTATCTCCCACCTGAAACCCTTTTCTGAACTTTACACTTGAATTGTACTTTTTGACATTTTTTTCTCTCTGAGTTGCAATATTTTTCAAGTCAATCATAGGTTTTTTAGCTAATATATTTGACGTCACAGGCAAGATTGTACGCAACAATCTGTTGTTCAACAATTCTGTTGGAGACAAACTTAGGCCAGTCAAAGGGGTTGTCCTGTAGTCTAAAAGTGCTAAATAAATATCAGTACCATTCACAGAACACTTCTTCAACATGCTTTTACATATCCCAACTGCGCGTTCTGCTAGTCCATTAGATTTTGGATATCTTGGACTGGATGTTGTTAATGTGAAATCCCAATTTTTCGAGAATGTTTTGAATTCTATGCTGTTGCATAACTCCAATCAAACTTCATTTAAAATTATTATTTATTTTATTGAGGCTCATTACACAAATGTGGTTGTAGGTTAGTTGTCATTATCAGACTTGTAATGAATTTGTGAGTAAATTTTTTTGGTTTTTATATAACCTCAAATAGTCAGTCAATAGGTATATCATTTTACGTTGACTTTCCTCCAGAAAAATATTAAAAATCTTTCTCCTAAATGAGTAAAGCTACGCGAAATCTGATTTTTGTGACAACTAGTTCATTTACTGATGAGGGGTTTTTACTTTTTGATCCACATTCAACTGTAATACCTGATATTTCCTCACATGTTCAACACACATCATTATCCTGTCAATTGATTTATTTTGAACTGTTGAAGCATTAGACTAGTTCAATTTCCAAAAAGAATATTGAAATTATTGAATTGAATGTATGTATGTATCTTCCCCTACCAGGTTAGGTTAGGTTAGGTTAGGTTAGGTTAGGTTAGGTCCAAAGTGAGTAGGTGTGTTCGATCCTCCACCGCAACCCACAAGGGTTTATTGTGGCTCATACCTATTCACACTCGGTCAAATAAAGACAGCTTCTTAACGAAGCCGATTAGTTTGTCAGGTGAGTGGTATTCCAGGTCAGATGGTAAGAGTACGGCTCTGCCGAACTCTAAAGACCTGATTCGATCCTCATCGGGGCAGGCACAGAGTATATGCTCTGTTAATGAGGTAGTCGGATAGTCAAGATGCAAGATTCTCACCTTGATAGCCACGATAACCTTCCCATATGAGGGTTTTTGCACGTCAGCTGCACCTGACGATGCCTTAGATGCAGGGCTTTTTCGCCTCTGGGTTTGGTGAATCATCACTTAGCGCAAACGTTTGCTAACCTGCTCATGGGGGGGTTTGTTCCCCCATGTGAGACAGGTTCTGCGTACGCCGCAGCTGTTGCTCCTGAACTAAATTTACAGGGAGGTCCGTTGGAATCGTAAACTCACCATCTATCTCCTCTATAGACTCAGCGTCAGAAAGAATTTTTAAGTTTACCCTGTCCATAAAAGTCCCACGAGGGAAAGAAGGTCAATCATAGCAGAGCCCCGCATTACCGTGACAAGGCGATGCTACGCCTCGCCTCGATGCTACGCCTCTCGAAGATTTCGTAGAGACAGCTGATAGGCTAAGTGTCATTCATCCTCTCGGCACGGATACACACACCTTAGGATTAAGCCATCGTTGGGATGCCATTCAGTTAGGAAATAACAGAACCACAAGTGATTCTGTAATTACCGTATCCAGCGGCGCTACGTGGACGCAGGCATCCGATGGCCGGTTTGCTCAAACCCCACATCTCAATGCAATGCACTCACCGAAAACAGCATGCACAGTGGTTCAGGCAGTGAAAGTTGAACAAGGACAGCCAACCAGCCCCCCTACCAGGAATCAGGTTAAAAGTTGAGACCTGGTTAATCCTTATCTCACATACTTTATGACTTCTGAGCGTTGTTGCACGAAAAAACGATCGGATTACATATGATTTTATTCACCATATTACCTCTACACCTTGTTCCACCTTGCTTTATGTTTCGTCTCAAACAAATCATCTTCTTTCATGGAAAAAAATATATTTATTGTCAGAGCTGCTGTATGGTAGTTTGAGGTTAGAAACTTGTGTTGGTACGACTACTTCGCTCTAATATTTACAACCTCGATAACCTGAATAGCAATTAAAGGTTAGAGACTTGTCACTTTTCTATAGATACTCTCACGGGAAGTGAGACAGACTCAAGCCGTCTTGATTCTACCCAGAGCATACATCGGGGTGAGTGGCGGGGGATCACTGTCTCTCTCTTATGGGTGTTTGACAGTTCCCCGGTGCAGACCACACGGCACTCACCCAGTAAAGTTATCTCATCGCTACTAGGTTCATCTTTATCGACCCTCGAAGTTGACACTGGAAGAAACAGCATTCTGGAAATCACCTCTGACTTTATGTCCCCAACTGTCAACTACTAACTGCCTTATAAAGTACTGTTACCGAGTAGAGAGGACTGGATTCTCCGGGAGAAGGAAATATAAGAGCAGATAGTTGTTGGTTCACAGATGGATCAAAAACACCCTTCAGTTCTGGTGTTTTTAAATATTACTTGAGTTTTTTCCCAACACCAAATCGTTATTTTTAACACCTCGACACGTGTTTCGATCACCAAGTGATCATCTTCAAAGAGGAAGAGAAGTTTTAATCTTGCGCAATGAATACAATCTAATGTACCTAATCTACTTTCGGCCAAGAACCGCTTACTTTCCAAAATAAAATACAACATTTTCCCAAAATTCCTTTATTTGCAATTGTACAATCTAACTACACTTTTGAAACTTCGAATAAAATGACACTTGTTAAATATATTTCTTCTTATATTTCAACGACTTTAAAAACAAAATCAACATACAAATATAACACTTGGTAGCGTTTTCGTCAATCGTACTATAGCTCAATTAATACTGATTCCGTCAAAACTCGTGAGAGAAGAGTTCATATATCATCTTGTAAGAGGTTAACTGTAAGGTAAGTTTGATTTGATGTCAGAGTGTGCAACATTTTTGCTGGTCTTCATAAACAAATATATTAGGAAGGCCTATCCAACCTGAATATATCACACACGGTAGTTTTGTTCAACCTCTTTCCAAATTCAATACTAAATAGTTAGATACGTGCACACAAGTCAAAATACGTTGAAATATCTGATTATGTGCATGTGTCTGACTCGTAGAATTTCATTTGGGGGAAGTACAAGGAAACGCATGTTTTCGATGCAGTGTTGCCAGTTCCAACAATCAATTCCGTACAAAAAGAGAAATGGCAAAGGAAACGCAAGTAGGTTGAGCATAACTTTATTGCGAAATTGAAAATGAATGAAGCCAAGGAATAGGATAACATTAGGTACTTTATTTCGATTCTAAAATCGGGTACACATCTCTGCAATATTAGTCTAAGTAAGAATGGACAATTGGGGATCTAGGCTATTTGGTCGCTTCATTCGTTTGTTCAAGAAGTTGCAATACTGAACTCAGTAGAAAAAAGCACGTGATAGTGATATCTCTTCTAGCATTATCTTATCAGAGTAGCCCAACAAAAATCTTCCCTGCGAAAAAAAACGTTTATAGATATATATATAATTCATAATTATTACTAATTCAAAAAATGCCCAAAGAATTTCTTTATTAAAATGGTATTAAACTCTATTGTTAATTAATACATTATTAATTAAACATTATTGTTATAATTGTCAAGTTAGTTATCTGTTTCACTCATACATATTTGTCATGATAATGAATAGTTCGAAGTTTTTCAAATATAAATCAGTATAAATACATGATATAAAAGTAGGATTTTGGACGACATGTACTCGCTGATTGTAGCAACAAGTTGATCATAAATAGGCATAAAATACAATTTCCACTGACTGTTTCTATAACTGAATATTTAATTAAAGATGAGAAATTTGTACAATATATTTTTGGATTAGCACCAGGTAAAACTAGCTGAAAATCACCAAGCACAATGCATATATGAATCAAGACAAGACAGCACAGTTTCGACCCGCCATAGGTCTCATCAGTGGCTCTAGGATGAACCACAAATGATTTGCTGAACTGTCGTCAAAGGAGAAGCCCAATGAAGACTGGCGAGTTATTCAAGAACTAGTGATGATAGAGAAGTTTAAAGAAGTGCTGTGAAGTGGAAAATTTCGGGAAAGAATTGTCAATTCTCAAGAATCATTATTTTCAACAATTTACATCTAATGTTGGAACTTGGGTAGATTATATCTAGCACAGGATCTCTATAAACAAAAACATTTCACAAGCTTATGTTTGATAATTATCCGACTACAAGACTCATCGTTCTCTATCAGCAATAATTTCTGAGTAATTTGCGAAAAACCGGAATTAACACGTTTTTCAACTTGCCACCTAGACTATTCCATAATTTATATTGTATAATTTATCATATTGGAGTATGCTTTCAGTTGTGACAATGACTTCAAAGATCTGAAACTTTCAGGACTTTTGGAAAACCTGAAGCTACTGCTCGTCCACATGACGTCCATAACACGGCGAACATCGACAGGGTGTTGATGAATATCGGTACGAGTATATTATACAGGAAATGTACCCAAGAATAGGACACGAAACTTGGGTCTGAATTCACTGAATAATTAACCTGTAGTATGTCTGGTGGAGGTATCATAATCAAAAGGTACATACATTTATAAGTTAAAATAGGCCAGTTGTTGATCATGTATGGAATTTATTAATTCGGGTCAACAGAAACAATAGATATATTCAACCGTAAGTTAGGTTAGGTTGAACTTCTCGCACAGTAGGTATTTGAACTATTGCAACCTGATCTGATCTGCGCTGTTGACTCAAATTCATCTAAAACAATTCTTTTTGGAGTTTTCACGTACACTTTGCCTCAATATTCTATAAAATATTGATTTTCATGATATGTCTGTAATTTCTTTTAGCAAGCTTCGAAATGAAACATCAATGGACCCAATTTCAGACTACCGATAATGTTTGAGTTCAAAGTGCATTACCAGAGAAACAATTATGAATTTGGTTTTTGGTAAATATCATATATATCATATAACAGAAGTTCTGCTTAGTTTTGTTACGTTAGATATTGAGTTTGGAAAATTATATTGGACTTAGGTTACAACAAAACAAAGCCACTAGAACATAAATATGTGAAAACCTAGATCAGTGAAATAAATACGTAGGAATTCTTAGAAATGTACATTTATTGATTTTTGAAATCTACATCTTGGTAGCCCAGTCTTCGTTACGCCAACAATATTCGTCATTTAGACCACAATCTATATTAAGGTCATTTAGACCACAAGAATAATCTCTTTCTTTCTCTAAAATCTCATATATGATCACAAAAGACAGCAAACTGAGATTTAGAAAACTGTTTTAGTGGACCAGAGATACTACAAGACCGATATGACACGCCGGTCTAAGTTCGGATATATTAAACGAACGCTTTTCAATCACGTCAAGGTTATTGACAGGGTGTTTCTAATTCACTGATAATCGAAATAGTTTTCTCCACTTTCTTGTGAATATCCCATCCAGTAGTCAATTTCTGAATTTGTACTGTAGGTATGTTTGAAGAAGTGTTTTTTTATTGAGTTGTTTCAATTTTTTTGTGGAACAAAAAACAAGTGACACTACTCAATCTCTCCCAAGAAAACAGTGATCTGCCACAAAAACTTGCGATAATTAGATAGTAAAGGAGTTACCCACAAATGAGAAGGGATTTGTTTTTCCGAGAATTCATCCGTTCAGAGGTCGACGTTTCGCTATCATCTCAAATAGCATCATCAAGACATGTTACTGGTCCTGCTTCTGCTGAAAACTCAATCAGTGAGCAAGAGCAGTAACACAAATATTTGAGACGATGGCGAAACTTCAAAGTTGACGAACTCTAAACGGATGATGATTCGAAAATAATTCCGTATTTCCAAACATTTGTCAAAAAGTATACAGTGTGACCCACCAAATTCGAATAACTTTATTTTGAATTGTAGAGCTCAAAAAACTGTTCTTTGGCTCCGAATACCATTGTCTTATAAAAAAACAAGGCCTGCTGCGGATATATTTATAGGTTAAAATACAAGAACTCGTATTTTTCGTAGGCACTGGAAACAAAAGGCTATTGTTGATTTTGCTGCTGTCAAAAACAGTAATGTCAGATCACGCTCGATTAATAAGAAAAGTATTTTGTAAACCGGTAGGAATAAGTGATTCATCGTGGGAAGAACTAAGTGTGCGAGATAAAATCGAACTTGTGCGCCTTGTAGGAGATAATGCTCTTTCGGCAAGAAAAGCTGCCAGAGAATTTCATAACAGACATTCTGTTGAACTTTCGGTGAGCAGCAGTACGGTGAACCGTATAAATTGTGTTTTTGACGAAACAGGTTTTGTATCAAGGCAAATTCTCAAAAAAAGAAACAATCCAAATCGTAAGAATAGAAATGGTGTGCAAATATTGCAATAATTTCGTAATAATCCACATTTAAGCTTGCGAACGGCTAGTTTGAAGTTGAATATCCATAAATACCCTTGTAAAAAACAAAATTAAACCATTCAAGCCAAAAATTTTACACACCTTGGAACCGGGAGATGGAGAAAGAAGGCCAGAATTATGTTTGTGGGCTCAGAACAATTTTGTTTAGTGATGAAGCTGCGTTCACTACAAATGGAGTAGTCTCGTTACAAAATTCAAGGTACCTACTGGGCTACGGATAATCCTAATTGGGTTATAAACGCAAAAAGGCAATATTTCCATAAAATAAATGTGTGGTGTGGAATCCATGATAAGATTATCGGTCCCCGTTTTTTTTGGAATTTAATCTGAATGGAATTATAATTTTAGGCTTTTTGAGAAATGAGTTTTGGGACGCAATACATAACTTACTAGTGCAGCACCGCCTAAATTTGAAGTTTTAATTAGATGGGTTTTCTGCACCTAATACAGTTATGGCTATATATGTATGTAATACAGAGAATGGCTGAATAATAATTATGGAAATCGATGGAAGGGTAGTTACATTGAGTGGCTGCCAAATTCACCGGACCTGGCACCGCTAGATTTTTTTGGGGTACTGTGAAGCAAAAAGTTCACGAGTCCAGAACGCAGTAATCATTATTATTGAATATTTTTTTATGAAATTTGGTATACCATCATTTGGGAGGGTTCCCAGTTCGATGGTGATTTCAAATTATCCAAAAAAAAAATCGCTGAAACGATTTCTTGTAGTTTATCTTGGTTTTTGTAGGAAGAAAATGATATTTGGTTCCAAAGTACAGTTTTTTGAGTTCAAAATAAAGTTCTTCGAAATTGAAGAAAAGATGTAAATTTTAGGGAGCTGCCTCGCTTTCAAGTGGGCCACTCTGTAGAAGAAGGTGGTAGATTACAACTACAGATTTTATCAACTACTTGGAGCTAGATAAGTCAACTCCCGATCATTTAAATACAAATCAACTAGAAAAAGAGGTGTTATGTTGTTGGCTTCCATGTAGGTACTGAAGAGGGAGACTAGGAAACAAATTTGAGAATGAGTTGATATTCTAAACTGCGCAAGAATGATAATATTCGTCATTGCTGAGGCTGCTTATACTTGCTGAGGTGCCAGTGATACTAAAATTTCTCAGTAAAGAGAGAAACAACAAATGCAGCTGACCAATTGAAAATATTCCCAAAGATTCGGTAGGTGAGATCTATTTTTTTGAATATTGATCCAGTAAAATTATTTCGATTCTCAGTCTATCTTACACACCATTATTATTATACTATTAACTCTATATAACTTATCATATATTTAACTTCAATTATTAAAATGCGAAGTTCATCACAATAGGTTTAATGCAGGTGGACACCTTTTTTTTATCAATGGGCGAACAAAAGGCAGACACGTGTGTACCTCGAACTAATGATACTCTACTAACTATGCTACTTGCACTTAGTACTGAATAAGTAGTACTTAGTACTCGGGGTGATTCTCCAATTCACACGAGCTGATTTTATACTTATATTGAAAACAAATGGATGCCTTCGAGATGATGGCCACATTTCCTTTGCTCTGCATTGCTTACATCTACTATTTGTCAATCGAGATTCCTAGCCTTAGTCATCATTGTCTTGTCTAGTGCAGACATTTTCATTAAATGCTGAATTTCTCACTGGTATTGAGGTTCGTTTTTATACGGTGCTTATTTGTCACACGTGATCTGAAGATTTTTTGACAGTAAGTCTTTTTGGGGGGTTTTGAAAATCGGGGAATTTACTATATTCTCCACCTCATCATCCAGAGAAATCACCATTGTCACAGCAATGTCAGAATCATTTGATCCCAATATATTGTAGAGCTAAGAGAAGCTGCTGACATTTTCAAAACAAGATAATTGACTTCAAGGTTCCTCTTGATATTGGACACCAAATGGGCATATTTGTATATCTGAGTGACCACTCCTGAAGAGAATATCTGCAAACCAGCTCTACATTTCCTAGGAGAGCGTCAATTTTGAGGGTAACTATTAATACGGTACCGATCCTGTTAGTGTATGAAGTATAGTTGAAAATTGACCAGCCGGTAACAATTAGGTTATGCTGCCACTTTCTCGTGTATGACATAATATCTATAAACTCTTAGGAATCTGCAGGATCCCCAAAAATTTGTATATAGCTTACTTCTAGCGAAATAATGATATCATCTATCGGATATGTTCCATCAGCCAGCATCAAGGAAGTTCGTGACGGATTTTCTGACGTCTTTTTATTCTATGAATGAGTCCCAAACAGAAATTTTGTACCCTCTAGTTTCCTCTGTTATACTGGCTTTCAAGGCTTTTTGTCCTGCTCCATTCATGTATCTATTCCATATCATCAAGATTTGAGTCAAATATGACATCTACTTCACTAACCAACTGATATTCATTACGATCCACCATGTTTTTGATGTGAGAGCAAGAAATACGATCACTAAAATTACTAGTATTGATTTTCAGACCATGCTGAAGAACTGATTCAATAAATGCTTTCAGTTCTTTGTGAATGTGCCGCGACCAGCAGTGGTCTCAAAATGGTACCTCTTGGAACTCCCGATTTCAGTTCCAAGAGCTTCTGCTGCTCATTATCAACATAGAGAGGTAGCAACAAAAAACTGGTTAGATATTCCATAAGCTAAGCTTTAGTTTAAGTATTTTTCAGGTTTGGAATTTCTTGCTGACGATGGCTTTCAAACTTGAAAACCTTGGCCGCGAAAGCCTTTACCATTTTGTCATTTGCTTCATTCCCTGAACTGTGACTCATTTAATTTTGTCAAAACATTTCGGCACAGTTGGTAGAACTCAATATGTTCTCAATTCTATATAGCCTGCATCATACGCTTTTTCAGGTAAAAATTTCCATGTCCAGTATCAAGTAGTGTTCCCCAACTATATGTAATTAGCCTTTGTCGGTAATCTCAGACAAACCTTGATAGAAACACAATAACTAATGACCTTCAGCTTGTGTGACAATGGGGTCAAAATTAATTCCTGGATCGAAATAGGCAAATGTGCAGTTCTTGACTTTGTCTTGGTTTGAAGGATCCAATACCACCTCAGGATTTGTTTCCTACTGATAGAAAGGCATGTATCCCGATCATTTAAAAAACGCATGTATGATCCATATACTTTGAGTTACCTGTATACCCTTTAATGACAGTGGCCACTCAATTTGTAATTTTTGGCAGTGGTCAGTAACTCCTTGCCTTGAATTTTCCCCAAATCAAGTTTATACTGAGAGAATCGAAGATGTTACCAGCTGCCCCTCAAAATTGATGCCAGTTGCTATAAAGGTACGTCGCCATCAGAACAATTGATATGTATTCATGGATAGAGATAGGTAGATGAGCAGCAATGGCACAATCAATATTGTGATGTGAGCCATCAAGTCAGTAACGAGTAAAAACCGGTAGATGTGAACTTTGCATATCACCCCGCTTATAAACATGTTCGTATAAGTTAGAGAATACCGCCCCTAAATTAGTTAATATAGCGAGTGGATGACAGGACACAAGTGCATGTCCAAAGTCCGTTCAATGTCGCCGAAAACGTTACGACGAAAATAACAATTGCCAGTGAAAATACATTTTGACAGATGGAGTGTCCAACGGCCCCACAGCAGTACAGTGTACAGTGCAGCGATTAGCAATATCTTGCACATAGGTGCCTGCCTTTTAGTTGTTCAACAGCTCGTGAATGTTCCACAGAAAAGGCACATTTGCACATTGCTATTGTGCCGAACTGCCGACACATCTGCTGTTTTATCACAGTAAACGTTCAAAGTCTCAATCGGCGTCCGGATTGGCGGTTACTCGGCCTATGCCTTCTCCTAGTCCTATTGAACTATTATATGAGGTGCTGAAAGCAGCACTGCGACTGTTGCGATTATCGTAAACATAGTGAAAATGATGAGGCAAAACCTGTCGACGACCATCGCCGCGAATTTCCAATCACTTATAACTTCGGCCTCTTCATCGGCTTTCTTCATTCGGTTCGTGATGAATTGCAGCTCCCGGAGAATGTGTTGCAGATCACGTTGTCCACCGGATCCAGGTATCGTCGTGTCTTCTATTGTGGTAGGATGCCTGATGAATCCTGCGCCGAGGTTGGTCGTTATTGTGGAGTTGTTTCCGCCGCTGGTGGCGCCAGATACGTTCCTGAAGTCGTCGTCGATGTCTAAAACGTTGGCCAACAGGCTTTTGGAAGACCGCTCTTTCAATTCCAGTTCCTTCATCCTGCTGTTCATCAGGATGGTTTTCCGGGTTATCTTCTTGCCTGGTCTGCTCATACCCAGTATCCACGGAAGCCACTGGAGAAAAACCGACTTGATCTGCAATGAATTGAGAGGAAGCTAATTTTATTCACTTGCTTTTGAGTGAAATACTTTTGTCAATTGTGTAATTGGTGGTAAACGTTCGAAAGAAAGGCTTAAGCCGCGGTCGTTCCAGTTTCAATTCCATTTCCGAATTTGCTCCTGGATGAGTGTTTGATTCAACTCTGATAATACATCTGAATGTTCTTCTGCAGGTACTTAGGTCACATTTGGACCCAAAAAACTTCTTACATAATCCATGATCCTACAAAGATGCTAGCAACACAGGTACTTCTAAAAATCTTGCCTACCTATGGTGGTTTGAGAAAAACACCACCAGAGATTCAGGAGGATCGTTCCTAATCAGTAGGATCTGGCAAATGCCTACCAAAAAACAAAAACTCAACCGGCTAATATTGAAGTGGTAATTGAATTATATCTGACAGACATCTGTGTAAGTTGCCCCACAGATTAAATTTTTGTCCAGTGTCAGAACCTTGCTGAAAAGAATCGAGTGATCCCTATAGAACATTTTCAGAATCCTGATCCTTGTCAGTGTTCCACCGCCTATACGAAACGAGAAAAAAACCCGATTGGTATGGCTGTTATGTCAGGAATGGACAGGGTTTCATATAAGATCAGGTTCCATAAGTACAACTGCAACGGCTCATCTAAAAACGGATTTAGCATGGAATACAAAGGGTGTAGACATGGAGGCACTTCATCGAGGCAGACCACCCAGTCGAAGAGACAGGCCATTTAGCCAATCAGAGCGCACCAGTCGCTTGGGAACGTAAGTACGCGTAAATTCCTAGAACACATTGTCACTTTGAACCTGGGGAATTGAAGAAAATGAAAAAATTTCGAAAAATTGAACCCAGACCTCGGATTGGTTCTTAGTTTCGACACCAACGTTATCTTGGAAGTAATTGAGAACTGGTGATTGTGGTGGGGTTGGTGGCTGATACCAAATTTATTGATAGAGAAAAACATAGATTGCTGAATACCAAAAGGGCACTGAGCCGTATCTTCGTTGACAACAATCGTCGAATGTAAGGAAAAGGAATGCAGCTCGTAGAACAAAATAATAGCATCCCAATACTGAAATTGAAGTCGAAGAAGATTTTTGTCCAGCACTCGACATTCCACAGTTATACTTCTCCTGACAACGGGAAGATAGTGGAATTAACAAGGCGTGAGGTTCTGGATAGGGTCCATGAAGTCATTAGGATTTCGGATCGGGCTTTCTGTATATCCGTGACCACGAGAAATACAGGGATTTGACCATTTCATTTCGAGGTGGAACAGGATTTGTTTCAACTACAGTGAAGTAGTGACAGCTACAGCTTGAGAACTAAGCCCGGCTGGCATGACTGTCTTCAAGGAGAGTGATTACATGAGAAATTTCATTCATGCATTTCATTTTTGGCTTGATAAATAGAGTAGCAGGCCTCAGGAGAGTAAGTATGAAGTCACCCATCAAGTTTTTTTTGGGTTGGTGGAAGAGTATACATACGAGTATATGCAATTATGCAACGGCTCATCTCAGAAAAGTACTTAGCATGGAACACGAAGGGGAGATGCAGCTCGTAGACCAAAATAGTACCATCCTGATAGAGAAATAGAAGTGGAAGACGATTCTTGTGGGAAGTACCAGCAGAAACTCAAAAAGACCCAATCTTTGGAATGTCGACGAAGAACGAAGTCATTGCTGCAAATATGTTTGCATTTCAAGCAAGTAGAATTATCAAGGCATGCCTATGTAGCAGTGTGATTCTGGATGGGGCAAAATTCTCAACGACTAACTAATCGTTACTAATAAATCATTATGCTACAAATTTGCGAAACAAAAACAGAAAAGATGGATTTGAATATATGGTTTTGTTTACAGGTGTTCCGTAAGACATATGACATGTGAGAAAACCAAGTATTGATCATATTTGTTGGTTTGTGTTCCACAGCGATGAGTTGATTTAAGTAACTGTGGAGATCTCAATACTCACCCATTGAGGCATTTCATGGATATCTGCAGTACGATGGTGACAATTGAGCACCACCACCGTTAGCACCACTGAAGAAGCAACCATAAACATAATGCAGTTGAAGTAAGTTTCTGTAAAGTCCATCAAGTGAAACACAGAATAAAAAATCGACTCAAGAGTGGAAACTACAACCAAACGACACTAATCTACTGATGGAAAAACGAAAAACTGTACAAAAATTATCAAAAAGTCCATCAAAATGTACTTTGGGGTACGCCAAGCATAAACATCGGTTTCTCATGACTACGATACACACCAATTTCACTCTATATTAAAGTATATTGAAAACGTGTACTACATCACACACACACACAAGCTTTTTACATCAAATATACACTAATATCTCCACGTACTACGATCGTACCCTCCTCAATGATACCACATGGTGAAGAATCATAAATTTGACCGGCCGAGGTCGTTTTGGCAGTGTCTTTGCAAGAGGCAGGTTTCTAGCGAAACTCTCCCACCATTGATTCAGAGTACAGGAATATCAGAATATGCTATTCTAGTTTCTTGGTTGTAGCGCAGCGAAATTTGTACAAATCAACGTCAAAATCAACTGTATTCAAAAATATTTGAGATTAAAATCTGTGACATACTCTTCTGGCAACTTCAAAAGGAATTTCACTAGTTGACCAAGAGGTATTGATTGGTTTTTGGTACTACTTGGTATTTTGGTTCACTGGCAGAGAATCTGATGTTTGCTAACGACAATTTTGATTTCAGTAAAAATCGGCAAGTCTCTTTTTTATGGGTCCGTAACAGTATAATTCACGAGGAAATTCCTCATGAAATAAACGGGCTGAACATGTATGTCTTGGTTGGTTTCCGGGTTTTGCCGTGGTTATAATTGACTGCAACTGCGAAGTCATCTTCAGTGGTATGGCCGAAGTACTCTTCTTGACGTATCAACTGAAACTGAAGCTTTCATTTCTACCATGTCATTTATAGTGCTGATTTTACGCACACTTTCACTAATGGCGGGTTCGCGCGTACTTACCGCGCGGTTTGGTTGACTTGGCTTCGTTTTGGTGCTTTTCGATGCTGTGTGCCAGATCTTTGGTAGATATGTTCTCTCTTTCTTTTTACTGAAGTTCTCTTGTTGTTTGTGTATTTCTATGGCTTCTTAATACATTCTTGTTGAAGAGTACTTCTCGTCAAGAAGAGTACTTCTTCACTTGTCAACTGTCAGCAGTCGAAAGGTTTGGAGATTATAACCAAAGAAACCACGGCAAAATCCGGAAACCAACCAAAACATTGACGCCAGCCACGAAAGCCTACATTCCTATACTGAACATGTATGTTCAAGGCATCAAAATGCCTTATTCCATCGTCTTCTAGGCCTAACATTTCCAAAATGTTATACAAGGTGTTTGAAATCGATGACTAATTCTGGAGACGAATAAATATATTCTACCCACTGAAATGTCAACAATTATCATGGAACACTGAAATGTCAACACTTGTCAGGGACACTGAAACGCCAACAATTGCCATGGAACATTGAAACGTCAACAATTGTCATGGAAAACTGGGATGCCAACAATTGTCATGGAAATAACTTTGTTCATTTCAGAGTTCGGCAAAAATATATTGATAATTTCAATAGTTTGAGAAAAATATTAATGAAAAATGAAACTTCATTGCATCGAATAATTTGCAACGGTGAACAGATTTGAAATTGAAAACTGGAAATCTCTATGTCTCACGACATTTTGTCGTGACTCCAATGGCTCAGGTAATCATGACAAATTACTATGAAATATAAGATGGAGAAAAAAAATTACATCAAGTTTTCTAAAGTCATGTGAAAAAGTGTTGATGGGGAAGTTTTCAAAAATGTTCGTTGATAACTCTGCTAACTTTAAATGAAGTCTTGTTTTCGATTTGAGAGAGCTTCTGGTCCCAGGCTAACGATGATTTGAATTCAGAAATTCTACAACTGCAATCAGAATAAGAGCGAAGATGTTAGGTTGATTAGGGCAGATGATGGATCCTGTATAGAAACCACCATTTCGTTCACCTTTTTTTCAAGCTATTTCCACTTTCCCATGAAAAGAGAAAACTTGTGAGCGGGACAATTCCACCAGCTTTCCGTTTGTATTTCATCTCATTCAATGACACAATGAACTGTTGTGCTTCAGTTGTTTACTACATTATGATGGGGAAGATCCTAGACCTACAGTCCATGAATAGTTTCTCATTTGTAAACCCCAACAATTCTAAAATTTCTTTTCATCTGAACTAGATACAAGAGCCTGAAGCACTATTTCGATCTGCGTCAAATCCTATCAGTGGTTAGTTTCAAAGTAATAGTGGGTCTAGTTTACTTTGCTGCAAGTGTGACATTCTTCAAATCAGAAATAACCAAATAACTCCCAGCCATATACTGAAAAACAGATTCTGTCCATAATGGTGTAGGCACAAGTATATGCTCTGATGTTTCAACTTTCTTCAAACAGAGGCGAGATGTCGGATCTTCCAACAGTTCAAATCTCTGCATATGTAAGCAGGCCTGTTAGACAACGTTGGTGATTTTTGGTGTAGTATAACAGTTGTTTGGTAACATACTCTGAAGTTTCTATGGATGCAGTGTTTGACAAATCCTGAAGCGATAACACTGACATATTTTGGTGCGACAAAACTGGTTACAGAGCCTCATGAAGGAGTTAGCAAGTCAGTTGCCTTTTAGTATAGTCAGGAATCCATAAAAGAGACCATTTGTTGAGTATTTCTATCAGGGACAGTTTTTTGGCAGTTTGACACCAATCTGGTGAGAATCAAGTCAATTTCTCCAGACATAAATAAATACTGTAGATATCTGCATAATATATGACCCTAGGTGGGTTGACGTATATGTTCTTGGTACAGCTGTACCAGAAACTCGAGGTATTTTTAATCCATCTGATACCTGTGGTTCTGGATGCCAAATCTCTCCCCGCATTGGATATGGAAGCTTGACTTCATAACGAACCCCCTTTGGGAGCCTGATTCATCATTGATATTTGTGGTGTAAGTCTCATGTCGATTCCATGGTTGGCGTCTCCGTATCTTCTTCTATTTCGAAGGTGAATCATTCTGAGAGTCAGTCGGGAGTTGTTATGAAGCAGTGAAAATAGTAAACCAAGTACATACCAGAGAAGAGCAAATTCAAAAAGAAAACATCACCCACGGAGTACCACATACCTTTAGATTGAGTTTGGTTCATGATAGTGCAAGATTACCTGGAGTGGTTGCCGATAGATGAGTTGGATGTTCATCGGAGAGGATTTTGATCAATCGAGTTAACCAACACATTTAGTAGATCCTTTTCCTAAACGGCCGCCACTACCGTCAATCTATGCACGATAAAACCATAATTTTATTACAAACATCAGTTTGCTTGTATTAGTTTTATGTGGTTACATCATGAGGCCGAACGGATCAGTCACAATGCAGAAAATATCAAGGCTAGGGGAAGAGAATTGAGAGCTGACAGTTAGTAATTTATTAGAAAAGAAACAAGCCGCTTCGGATTGGATTCCATTCGCGATTTACAGTTCACCAATTAATATCAGGCATATTACTGGTTCGAGCCGAATTATTGATGATGATCAACAATTGTAATTGAAACTGAGATATACGTATTGTTTTGCAAAGAAGTGAACCAAAACATTAGATGAACCATCGACATTGTTGCTTTATTTGGGGTATCTATCCCACTAAAAAGCTTTAGGAAGGTACTACCCCTTTTGGAATGAAAATCATTTTGTGACGTAGCACTATGTAGCAGTACCTTTCAATTCCTGATTGTCTAAAAAACAATGAAGGGCTCGTTTCAAAAAATTGAAATAGCATGAAAATAGGAAATTCTTTCACCAAACCACCTGCAGGTTGATTCAAGAGTTCTGTCCGTTTCAATGTCATGTGTTTTTGTTGCTCCTTATCTCAGTAAATGATCAATTTATTGTGTCACATGGTATACAGGGTGTAATATAAGTACATTGAAATATTCAATTGATGTATTCCTGAGACAATTTTGAGAAAAAAAGTCTATGTAAACTTGTGTCCGGAAATGCTTTGTTTCGGAGATACGGGGTGTTGAAATTGATTTTTATTGTTCGTTTTTTGAAAATAACTTTTGCAAAAAATAAGTTATATTTAGGTTGGTATACCTGTACGGTTGGTACGCCTGGATGGTTTACCTGTATGGGATATCTATATAGCATAAATAGGGTTAGCTCTCATTACTTTCTAGTTTTAATCTTTCTCTTTGAAGATGATCACTTGGTGATCGAAACACATGTCGAGGTGTTAAAAATAACGATTTGGTGTTGGGAAAAAACTCCAGTAATATTCAGGAAAAAGTTGTTTATTTTAACGAGATCCACGACATATTTAGTTTTTGTAATGTTCTTAGCACCTTCACCCTAGGAGCTAAGTAATATGCGTCTATATAGAGAATTGAAAATATCTCGAAAACGAGAAGTTGAGAAGAGTTATTGGATAGCGATGGGCCACCCAGGAACTGGTAAAAACGGACAAAACTTTCAAACGACCCTATTAGAATTATGTAAATTTTTAAACTCTCACAAGTATCTCTTATGATATTTATGTAGTTTGTAGTAGCTTGTGTATCAGTTATAATATACTCCATGCACCATGGATAGAGAAATATGAATGATGTTTTGACCCACAGGTACTGGTTAACTTATAGAATGTTGTTAATTTTCGTGTGGATATTTAATTTTTGGTATTTGTCACAAAATTTCATGTCATAATAAGACAGCTTTATATATTCCTTCCTGATATACAAGAATGTTGATTCTTTTTGAGAATAATATTTTTTTTGTGAAATGGGTTTTGAAATCTATTGTTTCAGGCCGTGGAGTTACCTGATTTTTGTTATTGAAGAATCACCAAAGCCTCGAAACCACCGATCTTATCAATCATAGATTACTTCATACGGAAGAAGTAGGAAATTGCTCCATTTCAAATCGATTCTAGCTTCCGTTTGGCCAACACGATGAACCAGTTAAACGAAAAAGTTTTGTGGATATTTATCAGTGTTGTTAATAGTTATGGTT